ACATATATAAACCCTATATTAAACATACATTAAAGCATGTATTAAAACATATATGTTCAGATAGGTTCTTTCCATGTGGGTGCATTTCTGCACATACACTATAATCTGCTGTTTTACTCCATTTAAAAGACAGAAGCTCTTCAGCACAGGCCTATCTAAAGGGTTATTGTTGACGACTGATGATCAAAAGAAAAAATGAAAAGATTTCCCTTCTCCCAACAGGGAAAGCCAGCACCAATCAAGATTGCATCTGCTGTCATGGCTTTGCAATCATAATGGAAGTCAATGACAGCACCAACATAACCAAAGGAGAGTCAATCAGTACAGGAGGGTTAAATCAGAGTAGCATGACAAAAATTTCAGAGGCAGTGAATCAATATGATTGACAAAACACGAGGTCGAATATATTTTTTTGACATGCAAAAATTACTAATAATTTCGGAGTCAGTGTGCAATAACTTTAACTGATCTTCCCAAAATCCATGTGGAGGTGTCCTGTTGAAATGCTGCTGTGCATCTGATAGACAGCTGCTTTCAAACACTCCGACAGCTTCAAAGCATGTTTGTGCGGTTCAGCCAATCACAGCACACGCAGGAATTACTGTAATTACGAGATTCAGCATTGTAAAAAGCGTTCACATCTTTGTAGAATCTCGTAATTACATCTTGTAACCTCTGAGTGTTCTGAGCTCTGACCAATGCATTTTGTTTGGCGGAAACACACAAATTGTTTCAAGCTTTGGCAATAAAACGAAAGGATGCTGTTATCTCGTGATATTTCTGTTTAGGAAGGGCCTGTATTCTTGCTAAACTGTTTAATTGCAGCTAGCTTAAGGATACCGAGTGGAAAATACCTAATGCTATAGTTAATGTTATTGCATTTATTTATACAAATAAATAAATCAAAACAATAAATACACTTATCAATAATAAATAAATGCACTTTACACTCTTCTTGTCCATCAGCTGGGGAGTTTAAATAAATAAATAAATAAATAAATAGTAATATTAATAGTAATGGTAATAGTAATAGTAACAGTAGTGGTGGTAGTAGTAGAAGTATTAATAATAATAATAATAACATTAATATTAAAACACTTTTTACTTAGTATATCTATGAGCCGGAGAGTTCAAATAAATAAATAAATAAATGCACTTAAATAATATTATTATTATTATTTTTGTTGTTGTTAATAATAATAATAATAATAGTACAAATAATAATAATAATAATATTAATAATAATAATAGTACAAATAATAATAATAATAATAATAATAATAATAATAATAATAACATTAAATAATAATAATAATAAAACTCTACTCGTTATGTCTATGAGCTGGGGAGTTAAAATAAATAAATAAATAAATAAATAAATAAATAAATAAATAAATAAATGCACTAAAATAAAAATATTAATCATATTATTATTGTTGTTAATAAAACAAACAAACAAACAAATAAATAAATGCACATAAATATTAATATAATAATAATAACAACAACAATAATAATACACGGTTGTCACGGTAATGCAGTGGGTAACACAATCGCCTAACAGCAAAAAGGTCAGACCGGGTCAGTTGGTGTTTCTGTGTGGAGTTTGCATGTTCTCCCCGTGTTGGTGTGGGTTTCCTCCGGGTGCTCCGGTTTCCCCCACAGTCCAAACACATGCGCTATAGGGGAACTGATCAGCTAAATTGTTTGAAGTGTATGAGTGTGAATGAGTGTTTATAGATGTTTCCCAGTGAGGGTTGCGGCTGAGTTGGCGGTTCATTCCGCTGTGGCGACCCCAGATTAATAAAGGAACTAAGCCGAAAAGAAAATGAACGAATAAATGAATGAAAAATTACACACTTTTTACTGATCATGTCCATGAGCTAGGGAGTTAAATAAAATAAATAAATAAATAAATACATAAATAAAAAAAGAAAGAAAAATTATGAATGAATGAATGAATGAATAAATAAATAAATAAACATATAAATAAATAAACATATAAATAAATAAATAAATAAATAAATAAATAAATAAATAAATAAATAAATAAATAAATAAATAAATATATTATAAAATGATTAAATAAATAAATAAACACATTATTAATAATAAAATACACTTTTTTTACCCACATTTTGTTCATGAGATGGGGAATTAAAAAATTGGGGAAAAAATAAAAAACTTTAATAAAAAACTAAAGAAATGACACAATTTCA